AAGGTAAGGCTCTTCCCATTTATCCTTGGTACCTGACCTCCAAGCCATTTGAGTTTCAGACTCCAATCACCCTCCACTGTTTTGTTCACTTCTGTGGTCCTGGTGCCTATTCAGAAATCCTGAATTCCATATAGATATTTTGTTTTCATCCATTAAGCTAATCATAGCAAAAATTACACTTCTTATATGTATGTATTTCCTGCCATACATCATAACCAAATCCCAAAATAAAGTCACTGGTACACTATCACACTGTCACTATCACTATATTATATTTTGAATTGGTTTACACCTATGCCAGCACATTTATTCTAGTCTGTCTCTTAGGTCTGCATTAATCTGATGCATTTCCTTTTAATTTGGTTCACAACACCAGAGACATAGAGTGGCACAGTAAAAATGACCACACCTTTAGGGTCAGACAGTCCTGGATTCACACAATGGCTCCATGAAATCTATCAATGTCAGGCCAGGTGTGGTGGCTCACGCCTATAATCCCAGCACTTTGGGAGGCCGAGGAGGGTGGATCACGAGGTCAAAAGATCGAGACCATCCTGGTCAACAAGGTGAAACCCCGTCTCTATTAAAAATACAAAAATTAGCTGGGCATGGTGCTGTGTGCCTGTAGTCCCAGCTACTAGGGAGGTTGAGGCAGGAGAATTGCTTGAACCCAGGAGGCAGAGGTTGCAGTGAGCTGAGATCATGCCATTGCACTCCAGTCTGGGTAACAACAGTGAAACTCTGTCTCAAAAAAAAAAAAAAAGAAAAAAGAAAAAAGAAATCTATCAATGACATCAATAAGTCATTCACTCTAACCTCACCTGAAAATTGGGAATACTAGTCACAGCCTATTAAAGATGCTGTTAAAGTTACACATGTAGAGATATGTAGCGAGGAATCTGGCTCAATGTTAATTGTTCTTCTCTCTGAGAATATTATATCCATCCTCTTATCTATTTTCCTATGTTTCAACTGGCTCATATTTCGGCCCAAGCCCCAAACATTGAGGCTCGTTATCTCAGTGCCTCAGCTCATCATGTGCTTGGTACAGTCATTGCTCTCCCTCCATGTAGTTGGTTAGCTTTGTAACATTCCATAGATGCTGTTTCTAAATTCAGAAAAATTATAATAAAGGATCCATCTCAAATCCTTCTTTATAAATAGGCAAATACATTAATTAATTAATTAAATGAATTTAGTCCATGGCATTTTCAATCACAGAAATGCCATTTTGTCATTCTGGGGAGACTCTACAAAATAAGTGTGCCAGTTGCTTTGACAAATCATACGATGATAACTGACTTTTCCCCAAAGCTGGATCTAACTCCAGATTTGTCTTTACCTGAGACGGCTAATACTCTAAAAAATCTGACTTCATATTCCTCTTTGTCTTGTCTTGGCCTAAATAAAATACTCTTTATCTTGAGCACCCTTACTGCTTAGGGGCTAGATAAGGATAAGCCTCTTGTGATCTTTTCCTAAAACCTTCAGGCACAGATCCAATTCATGTCTAATTACACCATGAGTTTCAGCAACGGAAAATAGGATTTGACTAGTGAGAGGCCGAGTGGGTGGTGGCAAATGCAGGAAGGGTATCAGGCCCAGACTGTGGCCTACCTTGAGACCAAGCTCAGGAAAGCCATCCTCTTTTGTGCACACTGGAGATGATGAGAAACGACCCATGTACAAGCTGGTGATATTTTTGTCCTTGAATTAAACGAAGAAACACTACATTGGAAAATATCAATGGAGCTAATAAGTTAAAAACATAGATGTTGTTTCTCTCCTAGTAATCACAGAATATAGCAATCTGTTCTAAGCTCTTTTAGTACAAATGAGAAATAAAGCCAGCTTCCGAACTTGAGGAATTAGAACAGTCTCATATGTAATATTTTAATCTATTAACATTGTTTATTACCTTGAAACTAAAAGGTTATTTTGAGGGTTAAGTGTGCAAAGTTGGCACTCAATATTTATTATTCAAAGAAGTAATTAGCAAATGATGAAGGAATAATTTATATACATGTCATGCACACTAGCAACAGTGGCTTTTGTCAATACTACTAGCAACTTCAGAGAAATTAAATTGTTGATTGAAAAATAGTTTTTCTGACCCTTTTGAAAACTACATACGTGCTTCTTGTTGCTGGGTGAGAAATACTACTTTATACACAGTTCTGGTTTTCTATTCACAGATATGATTGATGTATTACACCAAAATAAAGCATTTTTATGTTTATAAAGTGTAATTTTTAGATTCACTTAGAATATATTTAATAAGTTAAAATTATTTTGGCACACTATTAAATGCAAAAACTCCTTTCAAAACAAAAAAGAACTACCTTATATTCAACATTTAATGTTCTTGGTCTCTGCTTTGATGTCTATACAATATACTGAGCTCAGTATGGTGTCCAAGAGTGCCCTCTGTGGATAGACAGGCGCATTCCTTCAGGAGTGGGTACTGATTCCAGACTACACATGCCTATTATTAGTTAGGCTTCTGAGATTGCAATCATACTGAATGTATGAAGAGCGAAATAAAATCAAATCCTTATTTTTGTACAGTTTTGAAGTTTATACTTAGAACTGACCACCTCCCCAGCCATGTGGAGAGCTGTACAGTGTGTAAATCTGCCTTTATCTTGGATTGATTGGTACAGTATTTTTGCCTCTGTGGGACCTACCTTTGTGTTCAGTAGTTTGAACTATATATAAACTGTACAATCTGTAAAGTTTTTATAGAGCAAATATTCAGCTGTGAAAACTGGTTAAATAAAACTAATATTTCTTAACACAGTTAAAAAAAAAGGAAATGAAGTCTTAAGTGCTTGAAAAATGACAAATTTTACTTAAACACTACAACATAAGTGTGCCAGTTTTCCTGCAGCCTAACCATCCGTACTAATCTTTGTCAAGGTTAATAACAATTGTTTCAATTAGCACTTCTTTGGCTGACTATGAGACTGAAATGTCTTCCTGTATTAACTACTAGTGCTTTGGAGAATTCCGTTTTTAATTCTTTTTGTCAAATTTTTTGTCATTTTATAAAAGTTAAATAGTAAACACAACATTTAATTGAATGTTACATATGCTTCAAATATTTCCCCAAATTTATGATTACCCTTTTAAATTTGTGGAATTTTTTTTTTTTGCTATAAAATGATTATTTGAACTTTACCAAATCAAATGTTTACCTCTACAATTTATATATTTGGTTTCATATTTAGAAATTTTTTCTACTACAGGATTATATAAATATTTACCTGTATTTTATTCTAAAATGTATGTGACTTTTTGATATTTTCATATTTAACCATCAGAAAACAATTTCAGTGTGTATTGTGGTGATATGCTTTATTTTAGTTTTTTTTTTATTCCAAATGGATGACCAGTTTACCTAACTTCTTGTATTCAATAACTCACTTTATTTCTACCAGTTTTAAAGTCTACCTTTATATGTAACTAAATGTTCACTTGTGCCTCTTCCTGTGCTTTTAATTCTGTCTCAGAGACAAACACTGCCCTACTTACTTTTTTTGAAATGTTTTCTAGTTATTTCACTAAAATTCATCATATAATATGTAATATTCTACTTTCACTCAGCATAATATATTTGGGGTAATTCATGATGTAGCACTTATTAGTAATTGTTTCCTTTTTTGCTGAATAGTTTTTTAGCCTAAGGGTATTCCACAGTTTGTTCACCAGTTAATCAACTGTTTCAATTCTGGGCTATTATGAATAATGTTGTTATAAACGTTTGTATACATGTATTATGTGTACATATGCTTTCATTTCTCTTGGTAGAGTCCAAGGAGTATAATTTCTGAATCATACAGTAAGTTTATGTTTCAATTTTTAAGAATCTGTAAATCTATTTGTCAAAGTGGCTGTATCATTTTACACTTCCACAAGCAATGTATGCTTAGTTTCTCCACATGCTTATCAACACTTTGTATTTTCCCTTTTTTCCCTTTCCTTTCCTTTCCTTTTCTTTTTCTCTTTCTCTTTTTTTTTTTCTCTCTCTCGTTTATAGCCACTCTAGTGGGTGGATAATGGTATTTTTTTGCAGTTTAAATTTTTATTTCTTAATTTTAATTTTATTTTCCTAATGCTCATCTTTTATTGTGCCTATTAGTCATTTTTGTATATATGTTTTGGTGAGATGTCTATTCAAATATTTCGTCCATTTTTAATTGGATTGTTCGTCTCTTTACTAGCTGTAAGAGTTCTTTATATTTTTTGTATGAGTTTTTATGCAAACATTTTCTCCCAGTCTCTTTTCTCTATTCTTATTTTCTTAATGGTGACTTTTTAAACAAAAATTGTACCACTTTTGTTTAAAATCTGATATTGATCATTTTATTTAATGACTCACACTTTTAGTATGGTATCTAATAATGTTTTGCCTAACCCAAGGTCATAAAATCTCCAACATTTCTTTCTAGAAATTTTTTTATTTTTAGCTCTTACATTCAGGTCTGTAATCCATTTTGAGCACCATTTGTTGAAAAGTCTATCCTTTCTCTCATATAATTTTCTTGACACCTTTGCTACAAATCAATTGGCTATAACGTAAGTATTTAAATCTGAACTCTCCAATTTGTTCTATTAATCTATATGACTGTCCTTATGCTGTGTGTTTTAATTGCACTGACTTAATGTTAAGCTGTGAATCCTTGTAGTGTAAGTACTCCAAATTGTTTCTTCTATTCCAAAACTGTAAGTCTTTTGCATTTCCATATAAATTGTAGAATGAGTGTCAATTTCTACAGGAAAAAAATGATCTGTTGATATTACATTGAATTTATAGATCCATTAAGGGAAAACAGCCATTCCAATCCTATTGAATCTTCTAATACATTTACATATGATGTCTCTCCACTTATTTATATCTTTTAAAATATTTATCAGCAGTGCTTTGTAGACATCAGTGTCTTGGTCGTGTGTGTGTGTGTGTGTGTGTGTGTGTGTGTTTGTAATTTTTTTAACATTATACTTGTAGCAAGGATTATTGTCAAACTCTACTCACTAGGCCAAAGACCCTTGTGGTGGTAGTGAAAAATTTGACCCTCACATATCACACTACCCACACTTACAAGTTTATCAGCCAGTTAGGGCCCCAGCTCCACATTCTAATAACGTGCAATCTCCATTTGTTTTCACATATTTCAATCTTCTTTCTGCATCATCCATGGCATGTTTTGTAAAGGACTTTTTAAAATATTTTAATTTTTTGGTGAAACCAGCTTAATTTCCATTTCTTTATAAGAAATCCATATTTTCTGCCTGAAAGCTTGTAATTTTTAAAAAACGTATTTAAGTCAAATATTTTATGCTTGTTCTCATCTTCCTGATCTTACCTGGAATAAAATGAGCCCTTTCATCCTCCATGCACTGGAGTCTTTCCTCTGGAACAGTCATTTTTATTCTATTTATTTTTGTTTACTTTACCTGAGACCCTAGTTATCTGTATGTTGGCTTTTCATTTTGTGACCTTCCCAAATACAATTTTCTCACTCTTTTATTTTCACTGTATTTTTTCTGTGCATTATGAGAGAATTTTTCAAATGCATTCTCCAAATTGAATTAACCTGGTTACTGTCCCTTGACTCTGTTTTTGATTATGTCCAATGTGTACTTTAATTCTTTTTTTTTAGTATTTTATTATTTTGACTTTTTGTCCAGCATGTTCTTTGTTTTCCCATAATACTATAGGATGCTAGTGCCTACATTACCTTAAGGATGTTTTCTTGTTAGTTCTGCAGAAGTTTTTATATCTATGGCATTGATAACTGAGTCATTGTGATGTGATAGGTAATATGCTTCATGATTTACAGACATTATTACATTTCTTTATATATGCTCATGCTCTGGATTTTCCAGATGCTGTTCCTTTATTAATGAAATATTTTAAAGATTCATGCTAGTATTTTTTTTCTTTATATACTCTCTAGTGCAAAACAAGATCTCCTCAGTCTTTATTTTTTTTCTTAAAAAAACCTATGTATGGGGCTTGCTCATTGTTGCTGTCCCAGTAAGCATTATTATATGGAATGCAGTTTCTGGTATAATTCCCAGTTTCTAGCAGCCTGCAGATAACATTCAACCAATACTGTATAGTTCTTTGCCAGCTTAAAACCATAAGGGAAATTTATAAACCTAAATTCCCAAAATATGCTGTTTTATTTCACTCCCTTCTGTACATGGGCTAATACTAATTTCAAAATTCAATGTATCTCTACCAATGACACCCCTTATACCATTATTTTTGGCTATTTTTCTTGAGATGAGATGTCTGATACAAGAATAAAGTCCTTGTTACTTTATAGTTAAGCAACCTACAAAAATAAATGCCCAGTTCTCACCTTTTTATATTAGTACAGACTCTGCATTCCTTAGTAAAGACTATGGAGATGTATAAATTGTGAGCCTATATTTTGACTTCATATCTGTCCACATCCATTTCCATTTCCATCAGTTTGGAGAAGTTAACCATTTCCAAATTTTCTAGATTTAGAATATTCATCAGTTTAATATCAGTGCTGCTTTCATTTGATTTTTTATTTGTGTTGAAAATTTAATAAAAAGTTGGGAAAGACTCTTTCAGATACTGCCAATTAAAATCACTTTAAAATGCAAGTCTACTTTACATCTTAGAAAAAACTGATAGCAACATGGTGTGTGAACTAGAAAGAGTCAAATAAAAACAGAAATTAGTGATCAACAGATAAAAGGTGAGAGTATATGCAGATTTCTGAATTAGGCAATTTCACATATGAAGCTACCATAGATTTATACATCTACTATAGATCTATAGAGCTACCATAGAGCTATTAATCAAAGTGGGGAAAATAGAATATACAAGTAGTCATTCTGTGACAAAGACTGAATTTAGATGCACTCATACTGTGTTTGAGCTTGCTTTGAGATATTTAAGGTGGAAGAATCTAAGAGTTAGGCATGTGGCTCTAATATTCAGGAGATTAGTGTGAGAAGAAGATGAAAACTTTAAAGTAGAAAAATGAATATATAAAAGCCATTGTCCATGGAATGCATGCTGTTGAAAGTATACAGAAAAAGACAACATGTTTGGAGAAATAGCCAAACTAATTTTCATCTACAGCTATAAGTAAGTAGTAGTCAATTATATGATAAATCTTGTGTAAAAATGAGCATACTTAGAATAAACTTGAATGGTTTGTAAAAATAGTGGAAATCATAAAAACATAAAAGTATATTTTGAGCAATACCTTCATTTTATAATAAATATGCTGTTTCCACAATGGATCAATGGATTAATTTGATTTATAGCATCCAATATTAAGTATTTACTATTTGCAAAAAAATAAGTTTTAATAATATAATTATGTATCATACAATATGTAGACAATCCTGAAATAAAATTGTTCAAGTCTGAACCATAGAAATTTTAAATAATCAGAAATTTTCGAAGATAGGCATCTCTTCCACATTTACTTTATTTATTAATAAAGTATTATTAACTGAAGGATTATAATTATCATCATTATTATTGTGATTAGACAGTGTAATAGAGTTGTTAATAGCACAGCCTCTAGCATCTTTTTCTTTTTCTCCGATTGATTTCCAATATCATATCTTTCAGTTTTTATGAACTTTGGCAATTTATACACTTTCAAACTTCATTTTATGCATCTGTAATAAAAATACCCCTCTTTTAGTTTGTCACAAGACTCAAATGAAATAGTCTATGTTAAATAATTAGAGCAGAGTATGGAAATGGTCTTATCATTCACACAATATTATTTATCTGAGTAATCCTATAACAGAACAAAGGTCAGATGAAAGACCAGAGCATACATGTTACAAAAGAAGCTCATTATTTGCCTCACTCATTTTTATCACAACAGAAGCAGGTTTCATAATCATAAACAGGGCAGTATTTTAATGTTACAAACTAAGAAGAATATCAAGCTTCAGGTTCATAGGAACTGAAACATCTCTTTCCTATTAAACACATATAATGAATCAAGATAAATGGGCATTACCTGGGGTGAATTCTTAGGTAAATGTAGTTACTGAAAAGAGATGTTTTCCTGCTTACTAAATGAATTAAATGAAATTTGGTATCTAAGTTAATAATTCTAAAATTCCAAATCACAATTAGTCAATTATGTTTCTATACCAAGGCCTAATCACAGTTAAATAGAATTTTTCAGGAAGAGCAAATAAAGGTAAATCAATTGACAAATGCATACTGAATATGTATTATGAGCAAACAACTCCACTAAACATGGATTAGCCCAAAATATCCCTTATTCTCATAATCCAGTTGAAGGATAAAATTTTAATTAAAATGATGAGAGTACAAGATAAGTGGTAAATATAAAATAAATGTATTTAAATAAATTGAAGTTAAATTGAAATTAATTAAATATCTTAGTTCGGTGATTAATCTCACAGACAAAATATTGAATGAAAGAAGTTAAACACAAACAGTGTGTAATACATGATTCTATTTATATAAAAATCAAGTATAGGAAGAGATAATTATGGTAATAAAAGTCAGAATAATGATTACTATTTGAAAGGACAATGATGAGGGTGTGGCATTATGGGGACTTCTGTTTCCTGATAATGTTCAATCAGTTGATCTTGGACGTGGTTACACAGCTACATGTGGATGTCAAACTTCCTTGAGCTGTACTCTGAAGTTTTATGCATTTTATGGAATGTATGTGAAACTTCAACTAAAATAATTTTCAAATTCTAAATTTAGGAAGTCAAGATCCTACAAGAGAATTCTGCTCCCAAAGGCCATAATGCCAATATTCCATAATTCCACTTCTCCTACTTTCTTCTTGACGGAGGTCCCTGGACTTGAATGGGCCCATGTCTGGATCTCCATCCCCATCTGTTGCCTCTATTTAACTGCCCTTTCTGGGAATACCCTGATCCTTTTCGTCATCCTCACTGAGCCAAGCCTCCATGAGCCCATGTACTATTTCCTCTCCATGTTGTCCACCACTGACATTGGCTTATGCATCTCTACACTGGTGACAGTGCTGGGAATATTGTGGGTCAATGCTCGGGAGATCAGCTTCAATGCTTGTTTATCACAGATGTTCTTCATTCACCTCTTCACTTTCATGGAATCTTCAGTGCTCCTGGCTATGGCCTTTGATCGTTTTGTAGCCATTTCTAACCCCTTAAGATATGTTACCATTCTAACGCATGCAAGAATCGCACAGATTGGTTTGGCAATCATTACCAGGGGGACTGTCATTTTGACACCTCTAGTCATACTTCTTAAGCAACTGTCATTCTGCCGCAGCCACGTGCTCCACCACTCCTACTGTTTCCACCCTGATGTAATGAAACTCTCATGTTCAGACACAAAGATCAACAGTGCATTAGGATTAACTGCAATCATCTCTACTGCCGGAGTGGACTCCATCTTTATTGTGCTCTCCTATCTGCTGATCATTCGCTCAGTTCTCAGCATTGCATCCATACAGGAGAGGAAGAAGGCCTTTAGCACTTGCATTTCTCATATCACCGCTGTTGGCATATTCTATGTCCCTTTGATCAGCCTGTCCTTTGTTCACAGATTTGGAAAACATGCCCCACCCTATGTGCCCACCCTCATTGCTAACGTATACTTGCTCGTCCCCCCTGTGATGAATCCCATCATCTACAGTGTGAAAACGAAGCAGATTCAGAAAGCTGTGCTCAAATTTGTATGTTCCAAGGGAATTCATATTTAACATGTACTACTCCTAAAGACTTATTTCAAAGTCTAGAAAAGTCACCACAAGTTGGAGTTACAAACCCATGCATGCAATTTTAGAGTTGTGTGAAACTGAATGCCATCCGATTCAAATGTCTCCACAATGTGATTATCATTGCTAAGCAATCTCTTTTCTACCATCAAGGTACTGATTGAGATTCTCACTATCTTAGTTACCTGGTTCCAACAGACGACTAACTGAACTAATGTTTCTATGCTGTTTCTGCTCAATGATCACATCATTCACTTTGAATTAAGATTCCAAATTATCTAAGAAAAATTTTTAAATGAACAAATAAATGCATCTTTTATGTTTATTTCTCATGCACCAACTAAATGAAGCAGCAAATCCTGTCTATGGTCATTTCCTCCACAACTCAGGCTTAGCTTTTCTTTAAATTTTCATTCACTTTTTTTCTCTTTTCCCATACTCTGCAGTGTAAAAATGCCAGCCTGCTTACAACTTCTTCAAATGCATGCAGTTTTTTCATGGTGGGCTTTACTGTTGACTCCACTTCAACACCCACTTCACCTTGAAATTCTACTTATGTTTCAAGATTCATCTTTAAATATCTTCCTCATTAAACATTTTATGATTGCTCAAATGATATTTGTTCTCTCCTTATAATTTTCCTTTCATATTGCTTTGTTCATAACAGTTTTGCCTTTATATGTGTACACACCTGTGTGTATATTATTATAGCTTTCACAAGACTGTACATTTCTTAAATAAAAAGTCTTGATTTTATTTGAAGCTTCCATAACACTCAGCAGAACACCTTTCACATAGCAGATACTTATTGATAGTTGTTGAATTGAACTATACATAAAAACCTATCAAATAGTCTATCTCAAAATTCCAGTGATAACTCCTTTGATTCAATATTTGACATGTGTAACACAAGAAATTTTCAACTGTGTAAAATTTTTTTGCCGATATTACCTGGTAATTGGTCATAGTTCTAACTTTCCAAACTACAGAGTTAAATGGCTATTTTGGAAGTTTTGGCCTCAGAAAGCTGTCCCCGTTTGGACCCACATCCAATACACGTGTACTTCTTGTCTGTTCTTTAAAAAATATAGATTTGGGGGGCAAAGTTTTGTTACATGGATATATTGCATAGTGGAAGTCTGGGCTTTTAGTATAGCCATCATCCAAATAGAGTACATTATACTCATTAAATAGTTTCTCCTTTCTGACCCCACTTCCACCCTCCTACGCTTTCCAGTCACCAATGCCTATCATTCCACTCTAAATGTCCATATGTGCACATTATTTAGCTCTTACTTGTGAGAGAGAGCATGCAGTATTTTACTTTTTGAGTTATGTCACTTAAGGTAATGTCCTCTAGATCCATCCATGTTACTGCAAAATACATCTCTTCATTCTTTTTTATGACTCAGTACGATTCCATGGTGTCTACTCACTACATTTTCTTTATCCAGTCATCCAGTGATAGACACTTAGATTGATCCCATATTTTTGCTATTGTTAAGAGTACTGTAATAAACATATGAATACAGATATATATGTATATATATATGTGTGTGTAATAAATATATATATACAGATGTGTGTGTGTGTGTGTATATATATATATATGTATATATATATATATATATATATATTATAATAATTTATTTCCCTATGGGAAGCTACTCAGTAGTGGAATTTCCAGCTCAAATAGTAGTTCAATTTTTAGTTCCTTGAGAAATCTCCACAGAGTTTTCCATAGAGGTTCTACTAATTTACATTGCCACCAACAGTGTGTAAGTGTTCTCTTTTCCCCACATCCTCACTAACATCTGTTATTTTTTGACTTTTTAATAATAGCCCTTCTGATTTGTAACTCATTGTGGTTTTAATTTACACTTCTCTAATGATTAGTGGTGTTGAGCAATTTTTATAAGCTTGTTGGCCATTTGTATGTCTTCTTTAGAAAACTGTCTGTTAATGTCCTTTGTCCACTTTCTAATAGTTACTTGCTATTTGCTGTTGTTGAGCTGTTTGAATTTCTTGTAGATTTTGAATATTAGTCATTTGTTAGATGCACAATTAGAAAATATTTTCTCCCCTTCTGCAAATTACCTGTTTACTCTGTTGATTATTTCTTTTGCTGGGCAGAAACTTCATAGTTTAATCGAGCCCCATTTATCTTTGTTTTTGTTGCACTTGCTTTTGAGGTCTTAGTCATGAACTCCTTGCCAAGGCAGATGTTCAGAAAAGTATTTCCTAGCTTTTCTTCTAGTATTTTTATGACTTCAGGTCTTACACTTGAGTCTTCAATCAATCTTGAGTTAAATTTTGTATATAGTGAGAGATAGGGGTCCAGGTTCATTCTGCATATGGCAATCCAATTTTCCCAGCGCCATTTATTTAATAAGGCTTCTGTCCTTTTCCAAGTGTATGTTTTTGTTAACATTGTCACAGATAAACTGGCTGTAGATATGTGGCTTTATTTCTGGGTTCTCTATTCTGTTTCATTGGTCTATATGTCTTATACCAGTCGCACACTCTTTTGCTTACTATAGCCTTGTAGTACAATTTCAAGTCAAGTAATGTGATGCCTCCAGCTTTGTTCTTTTGGCTTAGGATTGTTTTGGCTATTCAGGCTCTTTTTTTCCATAAGAATTTTAGATTTTTTTATTCTGTGAAAAATCGTTTTGGTAATTTGTTAGCTATTACATTGAATCCACAGATTGCTTTGGCAGTATGGTCATTTTAACAATATTGATTCTTTGATCCATTATTATGGGATTTTTTTCCATTTGTTTGTATCATCTACATTTTCTTTCATCAGCATTTTGAGTTTTCCTTGTAGAGATCTTTCACCTCCTTGATTAAAACAATTCTTATGTATACTCTGTAGCTATTGTAAATAAGGTTGAGTTCTTAATTTGGTTCTCAGCTAGATAGCTGTTGGCATTTAGAAATGCTACTGATTTTTGTATGTTGATTTTGTATTCTGAAATTTTACTGAATGTATTTATCAAATCTAGTAGTCTTTTGGTGGAGTCTTTAGGATTTTCTAGGTATCCAATCATATCATCAGCAAATAGAGATAGTTTGATTTCCTCTTTTCCAATTTTGATTGTTTTGTTTCTTTCTCTTCCCTGATTGCTCTGACTAGAACTTCCAGTACTATTTTAAATAAAAATAGTGAAAGTAGGCATCCTTGTCTTGTTTCAGTTCTTACAGAAAATGTTTTCAACTTTTTCCCATTCAATATGATGTTGGCTGCAGGTTTGTCATATATGGCTTTTATCATTTTCAGGTATGTTCCTTCTATGCCTACTTTGTTGAGAGTTTTTATCATGAACTCATGCTGAATTTTATCAATTGATTATTCTGCAATTATTGCCATGATCATAGGGGTTTTTAAATTTGTTTATGTGATGAATCATACTTACTGATTTGCTTATGTTGAGACATCATCCTTGAATCTGTGGAATAAAACCCACTTCAGTGTTGTGTAATATTTTTGATGTGCTGTTGGATTCAATTTGCTAGTATTTTTACTAGCAAACTGATAATTTGATTTCCTCTTTGGTACCAATTCTTCCTTCTATGTCTAGTAGAATTTGACTATTAATCCATCTGGTTCTGGATTTGTCTTTTTTGGGGAGATTTTGTATTACTTATTCAGTTTTACTAATCGTTATTAGTCTGTTCAGGTTTTCTACTTCTGTTTCAATCTTGGAAGTTTATATTTCCAGGAACATATTCATTTTCTTTAGGTTTCTAGTTTGTGAGTGTAAAATTGCTCATAGTTGTTTGCAATGATCTTCTGTATTTCTATGGTACCAATTGTAATGTCTCCTTTTTCTTTTCTGATTGCACTTATTTGAATTTTCTCTCTTTTTTGTATTTTATTTTTTTATTATACTTTAAGTTCTGAGGTACATGTGCAGAACATGCAGGTTTGTTACGTAGATATACATATGCCATGGTGGTTTGCTGCATCCATCACCCCATCATCTACATTATTTACTTATTACTAGGTGGAAAAATTTTTGAAAAGACTATATACTGTATGATTCCAACTATATGACATCCTGGAGAAGGCAAAACTTTAGAGACATTATAAAACTCAATGGTTTCCAGGCATGTGGAGGGAAAGAAAGGTGAATAGACAGAGAACAGAGGACTGTTTAGAGCAGTGGAATTATTCTGCATGATACTAAAATGGAAGATACATATGTCATTGTACGTGTATAAAATCCATAGAACACACAACACCAACAGTGAACCATAATTTAAACTGGATTTGTGGTGATAATTCTATGTTAGTATTGGCCCATAGACTGTGATGAATGTACAAATGTACGACTCTGCTGGGAGATACTGATAGAGGAGTAGGCTACGCATGTGGGGCTGGGAGGCGTCTATGGGAATTCAGTACTTTCTGCCAAATTTTGCTGTGAACCAAAAACTACTCTAACAAAGTTGATTAAAATGCAGGATTATGGGCCCTAGAATCTGAATATTTTGTTTTACTGGTTCTGAGATGAGGCCTGAGAATTTGTATTTATAATAAGATGTCCAAGGTATACCTGATACTCAACTAATCTGGGAAGCCATTAAGCTACAAATACAACTGTATATTTTTTTGTTGTTTGTTATTCCAAATCTAAAGTATATTTATTTTTATCTTTATCTGTGGGGAAGAAAAATATTCATTTTGGTGGAATAACTGGGTGTAAAATCAAGAATATAGGGTTGTTTCAATGGCTTCCTTCCCAAGGCAGGTATAAAAATTACATTTTTATATTTTTTATATTAGTCAATATTTATATTTTTCATGAAATATAATTTTAATAAGTCATAGCAAGTCAAAAAAGAAGCAACTTAGTAATTGCAATACATGAAACTATGTTTAATAAATAATTTCTGAAGTTCTGATGTATAGCATGGAGACTATGCTAATAATGTTGTATTGTATAGTGTCTTTGATAAGAGACTGCATATTAAATTAT